CCCGCTTTGGAGCTCTCTCCGCGCTCCAGTGGGCTGAGCACGATCACTGCATGATTTTGATCCTGGTTCGGTTTGACGAAATCCTCTGCGCACACCCGAAGCAACTCTCCTGGTCTGGCGTAAGTCGAGAAAGTCACTTCGTTGAAGAGGGCCATGCTCCGCCGACCTCTCTTCAAAAGAACGCCGGAGATCGCGCCCTTGATGAACTCGATCATGGGAAGACGTGTCTGTGTGGGGGCCATGCGCCGCCACCCTTTGAGGGCCCGGCGGTAGCGGGGCAGGTGAACTTTGCCCTCGCGTGCGAACTCCGGCCTCTCGAACTCCAGAGCTGCAAGCAACTTGTCGCCGTAGTTGCATCCTTCCCCGTTCAGGTACAGGATGTCTGCCCAGTCGCAAAGCGCCGCGTCGAGAGCCTTCGTGTCTGCGATCTGTAGCTGGTGCTGCGCCACGAAGCCGTAGAATCCGTCCAGCTTCTTCGCATAATCGCGCCTCTGAGGTTCCTTGACACTGCTGAGCTCCAGTATGCTTCTCTCCCCCTGCGTCGCCCGCAGCTTCAGCTCGAACTTCTTCTGGCGGTCTGCAGCTCTCTTTCGCTTCGCCTGATGGCCCCTCAGCAAGGTTCTTAGAGACCTCGACGCCGACGCCGGATGCTTGGATGGACTCCTCATCTGCTCCATTTCCGCATGGCCTCTCTTCCTGCTGGAGGTGCTGGGCTCCATGTCCCGGCCTTTCGCAGCTGCCCTCTGATTGGCCCGATCCACTTCGGCCCTCGAGAACACCTGCACAGCTCTCTTTTGTCCTCTTGAAGTCGCCATGGCTATTTGTTGTCTTAGGAGGCTCCCATGCTCTGCTGTCTTTGTCCGCGACGTTCATTTCTGACACAACCCACCTCATGCAGAGCTTCACCCCGCAAGCAAGAAGATGGGCGTTGATCCTTCGAACAATCCGAAGAAGGCTGTAAGACGTACACCTTCCTTTCGACAGAGACAAGACAACCCCTAGATTGTCGTTCATAACCACCACTTTGTGTCCATGCTTGCGGTGATCTCGAGCAACATGTTTGACGGCAGCCAGAACAGTGCGTGCTTCGATGAGGTGAATGGGCTCCCTATGCTTGATTGGAGAATGCCAAAGCCTGTGCCAATTTCCAGGCTCCATAAAACTCTGCTTGATTTGGGGAAAACTGTCATCGACAGAAACAGGGCCGAAGATCTCCCCCTCAACTTCAGGTTTCACGCTGGCAGGATCTGAGAAAGGATCTAAGGCCAGAGCACTGGCTCGAGGAGCCACGTGTTTCGCGTCCCCCAAACGGAACCTCCAGCGCTCGTCATGTCGACCCAACTCCCCGACGACTTCAGGGCTTGCAGACCGACTCATGACGGCATAACCGGATAGGGAAGCATCGGTACACAGAACTTCTTGACTCCACGGTGACTTGAAATCACTCACCCCCAGGACAGCGAGGTGCCTGAACATGTCCAGCTCATCGGCAACACTCTTCCACAACCTCACCCGGCGATCGTAATGTCGCTCAATATAGGCATAGCAATGACGAAGTACACCTAGCAACCCTCGATGCAGCAGACAACGAACAGTAACATGCCCGATGACGACTTGAAGCTCGGCACCGGAAATAGCAGGCCTGGTTGAGAGGGCTGCAAGTGCCCGGTCCAAACGCCAATCTCTGTGCGGAGTGGCGCGCACCTGTCCCGCAAGTCCGTCAATGCGGACACCGAGGCTCTCAGCAAGCGTGACTGCATACACATGGTCATGCGTGTCGAGACCGTTCGAATGTAATGAGTGTAGCAAAGACTTCTGATCCTGTTCCACTATAGCAGCGCTGATTCCCAAGTGATTTGCATTGTCGGCATATATGAGCGTGGCGCTGGCGCATCCCTCGCTGGAACTGCTCAGCACTGGGGCGGGCCTCCTGTCGACCAATCGCCCGGCCCGGTGCACCGCCTGACACGCGAGATGCTCATGCGCTCGATGGGCTAAATGGAAAGCCCACGAAAAACCCATCGGTAGCACGGACAGGTGGGGGTAGTAGGGGCCGGAGTGCGACTGCACCAACTGCTCGAGCTCTAAAGGTAAATATCCGAGGACCTTCTGTAAGTGACCAGGATCAACAGCAGGCAATGAAAAATACTCGCCCAAGTCCTTGCTAATCCCCAATCTGTAGAAAAAGTCTCGGACGTCTTCTTGTGCAACGAAAACATCTTCACCGCTTCCCACCTCCAGACGGCCCCAGCTCTCCACCGAGCCTAGCAAGGTGGTAGGCGGCGACCTGAAGATGGC